CGGGGGAAGGGGGTGGGAGCGGGAGCGGGGCCTTGGAGTAGCGGTAAAGCCGTCTGTGGCCCCCGCAGAGCGACGACTCGGATGTGTGGGACGACACGGCCCTCATCAAGGCGTACGACAAGGCGGTGGCCTCCTTCAAGGTAAGGAGGGGAGCGGGCGGAGGTGGGCCCTGGGCTGAGGCCGCTGGATTGCCTTTTGTTGTTTTCCTCCTTTCTTTTCCCGCAGAACGCTTTAAAGAATGGAGAGTGTTCGGAGCCTTCAGACAAACAGGAACAGCGTGTGGGGATGAAGAGAAAAAACAATAAAAAGAACAGAAATAGAAAAAAGAGCAACACAGTGCCTTCAAAACAGGTCACCTCACCCATAAATGCTAGTGATGCTCATACTGTGTGCTGTACTTCTCTGTGGTGCTCAAAAGTAGCTTTTTTCATCATCTTGAGAGTCACATTCTGGGGATGGGGGGGATGATAATGTTACAAACCTTCTTTTATATATTACGTAGAGCCTTTTTCCTAAATATAAAAGAAAAACTTAATGGGTGGGAGTCATCTTTCTCGTGGCTGGGACAAAAAGCAGTTTAGAAAAAGATGTCTTTCTCTCCAATCATTGGTGTTGGTATTTACTTGCCTCTCTTGCTTCTGTTGCAGTGGAAAGTTGGTGACAGCTGTAATGCGGTTTGGTCTGAGGATGGTAATGTGTACCTTGCAACTATTGCCTCCATCAATCAGAAGAGAGGCACGTGTGTTGTTACTTACACGGGATATGGAAATCGGGAGGAGCAGAACCTGTCTGATCTACTTCCTCCAGCCAGCAATGAAACAGTAAATGGGATGGGGAATTCTGGGGAGGTGAGGGACACGTCTTCATTTTTCTGAAAAGGAAAGAGAAAGTGGGAGAAGTGACTTTCAATATTTCTGGTACCACTCCGGTGTTCAGAGTGGGAATTGATCCCTGACTCCAGTGTGAACGGACATAAGATGATGGAGGGAATGAAAGCCTTCTTGAGCTCGGCATGGAAGAAAGGGAGGGGACAAGAAGAAATTCAGGAGTGAAAAATTAGATAGCTAAAATGGTGATAAGATGATGAGGTTATAAGATCTTTCCTGGGTAGGACTGGGAGTGCTAGAAAAGAGGGCAGGATATGGATGGGGCTTTCCAAGCTTTTTCACGCTAAATTTGCTTGCGTAAACTCCTGTTTGGTGCATCTCATAAAGATGTCTTGGTCTTCTAGAATGAAAATGAGACTCCGTATTCAACAGATGAAAGTGAAAAATCTTCCCAGTCACCTCGAAACAAAAACAACTGCACGAAAACAAGATTCTCCCCTCAAAACCTACGTTTTCCCTCACCACCAGCAGCCCCAGGCCTGCGAAGGGTAAGTTCAGCCTTATCTGAAATAATTTATATACCACTGTTAAGCCTGGTATCATTAGAAATTCTGAGGCAATAGGATGATATTTATCATTGTCTAGAAACCAAATAACAGCATTTTGAGAATGGATATACAGATATCCATGTTAGAACGTGTTGGTATGTCAGTGGACAATGATCTGGCCACAGTGTAGCCCTTTTGCAGAGCTGCTGACTGGTGAGGAAAGCCTTCTCACTAGCTAACACTTGCTTTGCATTTGCCTTGTAACTTAAAAGAGGGATGTTGTTCCCTGGGCTGTGATAGTGCTGTTAATAATGGCACAGTTGATGTTTTAAGATTGCGGTTTTTCTAGCCAGTTGATACTTTTCACCACACAGGACATAGAAGGCAGCAAAAGTGGTGTCCAGATGTCATAGAAGCCGTGAGCTGTAGCTTCTCTATTGAGTTTTGAGGACTGGGGTATTGATATACTCTTCAGTTTTCCTGTTGTGTAGGAGTCTAAATAATAGTACAGTTGAACGCAGCATTATGTTTTCTAAATATTAGTGTTTGTGCAAGATTTCTTTATAAGGTTTTCTTATTTCTTTCATATCAACAGATTAGTACCTAAGCTCATTTTAAAGACAGTCACAAGCATAATGGAATTTAGTCAGCATGTGCCCTCAGCCACACAGGAGCAGAGAAATTATCTGTTTGCTTGTGAGCAATACCAGATACGTTTCTTCATGTGGGTGTGCAACCACTGACTTCTACTTAGAAAAAAACCTTTTTTTAAAATGCTTGTATTAACTAGAACCCTGTTTCAGCAATGTTTACCTCAGTGACACACATAACGTAAGTTTTACTTATCCAGTCGTGGAATGCTCCACAGAAATAGCTACCGTGTGTTGTTATTGCAGTTTCATTAAACTGCTGGGATGTGTTGTCTTTAGTTTAAGGTTTGTGAATTGCTTCAAATAATTCTTAAATAAATTCTTAATATCTGAAATGTCTTTTTAATTTGCGCTATTCTATTTTTTTTTTTTTTCAATGTAGCCAGGACCAAAATTCAGGGCTCCTCCATCTTTTCTGTCTTGCTGGCCCCCACCCTTCCCAGCAGGACCTCCGGTAAGTGATAGGAGAATGAGGAAGAAAGTGTCAGATGAGTACTGGTGATGTCAGGTTTTCTAGCTGAATGTGCTCGCCACCTGTGCTTTTGGAACACATTTCTGTGTTAGTGCATCTATTTTCCAGGTATTTGATAACACATTCAGTTGCAAATATTACAAGAATCTAATAGACAAGGTCTGGCCTGCACTCATTTTTGTGACAGTGAAGCTGTTGGTAAGAATATAAAGAGAAGAATTATATGAAGAACCTGACATCTGGCTAACAGCATTTTACTCCTGCAGATAAATATTTTCCCCTAATAAAACTTTTTGTGTACTGTCAAGCTACAGGAATCCTATTTCTCCCTGGCTTTGAAAATTACATATTTTCAGAAAATACTGTCTTATTTGACTCTTTTCAGAGAATGCATTGAGGATATGTTCCTATTTTTTTCAGTTTTGTATTTTGATCTTTTAGAATAGTTTGCTGTCTAACCTGGGATATACCCTACTGAAACACAGACATTTGCTTTGTGATTTCGTAGTTGATTCCTCCTCCGCCACCTATGAGGCCAGACTCTCCTGAGGATGATGAAGCATTGGGGAGCATGTTGATAGCCTGGTACATGAGTGGTTATCACACTGGGTATTACCTGGTACGTGCCATTTTGTCTGGAACTGTCATGTCTTTGTAATTTTGCTTTTGTGTTGCTGCTGCTGTTTTCAGCAAGAAGTTAGAGAGGGAGGGCTGCTTTTTAGATCTCTTATTCTAATTTGTGATAGCTAAATTTTAAGGGTATTTTGTGTTGTATAAGCATTCTTGTCTGTGAGTAGGAGTCACATGAGCCAGCATATATGTATAGTCAATGTTGGTTTAGTTCTTTGGTCCACTGGAGGAGTCCCATTAGGTACTTTCATAGCCGGTGTTTTATAGCCATTCTGAAACAACCAGTTCTGTAGACAGGTGGAGTAAATCTGAATGTGTTTATTATTCAGTAATCTTTTATGTATTGTCTTTGAGTATGAGTGCTAGAATCACATTTAGGATCAGATTTGACATTTTTGCAGAGGCTATTCATCAGTAATTGTTTCAGGTGATTGTGAAGGTCCAGCAGGAGCTGTCAGTATAGTTGTGAAAAATCTTACGTGCAGTACTGATTTTTATTTTCCTTTGTACACTTAAGAAGAAAGAAAATTACAGGACTGTCTGCATTGGGGAAGTTGGAAAGGGGGGGATTTAGTGCCATAGGGTATCTTTGAAACATTAGTTTTGGAGTTTCTTGCTTCAGGTTATATGCAACTGTGGATTGCTTTAATTTACTTTTAACCGAACAAGAAACAGGTATTTGAAATTATTCTGTAGAGCCACTGATTATAAAGAAGACGTGTAGTTTGGCTTTTGTCCTGTTTAAACCACCCATTCTGATTTCCCCAAAGAGATCAAAGCTATTCTCAATTTGTAAAGGACTAGAAAAAAATTGTCAAAAAATGTTTTTGTTCTGCAGCTGAAGCTTTTATTTCCATGTTAGTAAAACCAAGATGTTACTAAATTATGTCCTGCAGGGTCTAAAACAAAGCCGAATGGAAGCAACACTGCAGAGAGAAACGCATGCAAAATAACTGAATATCCATCATTGTTTAGAATTATTGTAAGTATCGTAATTTTGTGCTAGATGAAGATACAGTATTGCTTGACAAATTTGTTTGAAACGACAGTTTGTTTTACAAGCTCTCAACAAGTTTTGAATTCTGTGCAAAAACTGTGAGCTTCGGGACTTCAATCCGCTCTTGTGGCTCTCTGCAAAGACCACTTCTGCCAGTATTAATCCCTTCCTTGCTTAGCAGCCATGGCATAGTATTTTCTTGGCCTGAATGAGGGGAAGTATTTTATTGCTCTAATGAGAGGTTTAGTTACAGCATCTCTCTGTGTCGGCATTAACGGCGCAGCTGATGTGAATTATTAAGAGTTACCTTATTTGTTCATGGGCTGTTTTGAAAATAAAAGGTTGTTAAGTGAAATGCAGTTTTTGCGTCTATGTATATGTCTTCAGAAGCAGCTGCTGCTTTATACAGATGGGATAGCAGGATGTATAGCTAAATTTTGTTTTCAGGACAAGATCAACATTTCAGTTTGCTATTGTTGAGCGATTCTGTTCTCATTGTTTCAGCGCCTGTGCTTTTATTTGAAATCCTTTGTTTAGAATTCTCCAGTATATTGTTCAGTTCCTTATAGAACAAAACTGTATTCTTTTGGGGACTTGTTTTTCTGATTTTCTGTGACAACATCTGATTTCTGTTGAGTAACTCTTGTTTGTTTGTTTAAAAACAAAAAGCTCTTGTATACTAACTTTTGCTTCTTTTTTAAAGCCAGGTACAAATCTTTCCTACTGAGAGGTGTATATCACTTGTGCGCTGATGGTTGATGGTGAAGATCAGAATTTTATCAAGACAATTAATCTTAACATTTTCTTAACATTGAGTTGCCCCTGATAACAAGTAAACTGATAACTTGAGACTAGTAATTGTATGTGCATTGAAATGAGCCATTTCTTAAAGACCTCTAGTCAAATGTATTTAGAAAGCACTGCAGCAATAAAATATTTTTTATTTCCCTGAAACAATTTTAAGTCTTTACCACATTTAAGTCCTTTAACCCCATGTGATAGATTTCATTTATTTCTCATTTTAACACCTCTTGTTTTCCTCAGATTTTTTTTATCTGAATGACAACACCAGAACTAGCAATTACAGAATATTTTTTAAGTGACAGATATGGTAGCAACGTGTGTTACAGTGGCCGCTGGTGGCAGTGGCCTGGAAAACTGTATGCCATCCTATTAAAAGAGGTATCTCATGGGTCTGATTAGAATCCTGAGCACGACAGCTGGAGTGAGAAAGGCTCATTTTTTCTTTCAAATGCTTGTTAATAAAGTTCTACTTTTCAAACTTTGAATTTAGGGGTGTGGCTTGTTTTGGGGTGGTTTTTATTTTTAGCTTCTGTAGACATCTGTCTGTTGGGTGAATGGCTGAAAAACACCAGGATGTTTTGCTGTGTGGCCTTTTTCTGAGCACCATTCTGAACAAATTGGAAAAAGCAGACTCTAGAAAGGTAAGGGTCAGTATGGACTTAGATTTCATCCCTTACCATCTTAACTCCTGTAGAATAGAGGCTGCAGCCACAAAACCAGACAGTACTTTAGTTAAAGCCAGTAGTTCACTTTTCAGGGAAACTAGCCAAATACAGACCTGAACTTTGCTGCATTCACTTCCTTTTCCTACTGTGGTGGAGTGTCAGAAAATCAGTTTTCCCACAAATGATTGAGGAAAGAGAGAAAGATGTAATCTTGACTTCCCTAAGCTACTTCAAAGGCTTTTTCTTAGTTGTCTAGCTGAAGTAAATTAGGATTGCTTGCAGTGACGCAAAGCTTCTAAATTAGCTGTTCAGCAGCTGTTGATTGCTAAAGAGGCACAACAGCCATCTGCCTCAATCAGCTAGTCAGTCCTGTGTTTGTGTCTGGCATTATGTTACAAAAAGTGGCCTTTACCAGTTCTCAACACTAGTAAAATCTGGCATCCAGTATTATTTTTGGTGCAGTCCTGACCTATGATTTTTATTGCGTAAGTAAGTAAGTGATTCATGTGATTTAATTCATTGCAAGCAAAAGAACTGAGTATAAATAATTTATATTAAATAGACTTTAAGCAAAATTTTACATTTTTAATAGGAAGATAGATAGCACTTACTTAGATACAATCTATAACCATATTTGCAAAACAAGTCAGGTTTTTAAGGGTTATGTTAATCCTGTCTTCTATTCCTTGATACTTTTACATTAACCTAACCCTGCTGCAGAAGAGACTGGCATGCTTCATCCTGGTAAGCATTTTACAATACTTGTTCATTTGCAATGCAAGTGTATAATTTGCAATACAAGAAGGAAGAGGGCAAAAAACCCCAAACCCTAACACTTGCAAACTTTTCTAGTCTTGAAAAATTGGTGCGAGTGGCAAGACCCATTGCCAAGATAATTTTAAACTCTTAGACTGGGGATGCTGCTTCTTCATGATATCAAACATTTTAAGGTCCTCTGCATCAAGGAGCCAACCCAGCATTGTTATTGTCACAAGACTAGGCAATCGCGAAACACACTGCACAAAAGCTGTCACTGTTGGTGCACTGGCTTTGATCTGATGCGTGAACATGCGGCCGATGGCCAGCTCTTTTAAAGCGGGCATGTCTTCAAGCGTTCTAAAGAAGTTTCTCCAACCAGTTTCTGTAACATTGTGATTTGCTGACAGTGAGAGATTTTCAAGCTTCTGGAAACCTCCACAGTTTGCAACCTTTGCTGCAAAAATAAACAGACATCAGTAAGGATTTAAAGATGCTTCAAACCCGTGTGAGACGTGAACAAAAATACAGCAAAGCTGAACTACGGTAGATTAGAAATAAAGTTGTTGCTATTAGGTTGAAAAAAACCTCGTTTTAAGCAATTTAATACCTCAGACTGAGGAGACTGATAAAATAGAGAATACTTTAGCAGGCACATTAATGCCTAGTGGAGTAAGATACCAGCATGTTTATGAGTGTTCAAATACCACTCTTACAGAGCAAATAAAACACCAGCTTATGCAGCCACTTGAGGTCAGATACCAGATCAGCTTTGCACAAGTGCAAGATACTGATTTTAACGACGTCTTCTATGTTTGTGTGGCATCACAAATGCTCTTCAGTCTCACAGTCAGCCTACTTAAAAGATGGGACTCTCATCATCAAGTCACTGTATGTACTAAAATGTATGTCAAAAATAAAGGAAGTTGGTATGATGGACTTAGGATTTGCTTGCAAAAGAAGACATTTTCCCTAGCCTATATGTGAGATGGTAGTTCTAAGACTATACTAAGTAAGTATTAAATTCAAGAAATATTTTGCTAATGCACAGTTTTAACAGATAGGGCATGTAAACTAATTAACTAGGAATGAAGTTCTATTTTAAATCAAGTCTGTCTTTTTTCACTGATTATTTTTCTTGTACTTTACATGGCTTTGTAAAGCCATGTAAAGCCATAAGGGGAACTAAGGAGGCATTTCAAAGGAGGTTTCAGCAAAGCAGTCTGAATACACTTTGATTAGCCAAGAAATATTGTGGACTGTGTACAGGAAGAAATGATACCTATTAAAAATGACAAATAATTTGCAATTTTTGTAATATATACAAACAGAAGATTTAATTTATCCTGAAGCAGTGTATTCTCTACTCGGGAATGTTATTTCATGTTTGAAGTTCTCTCCTTTAAACTTACCTATTTCCAACAGGCTGTCATCATCCATACATAGGTTAAATGAGAAGTATCTGAGGTGCAGCAGGTGTAGACACTGCTGAACAATCAGTTTGGCTGCAGACTTTATTCCTTTCCCTGCAGGAAGGATGAGCTCCTCCAGGTTAAGAACACCACCTAAATTGTATGCTGCAGAGAGAAGATGACAACTTTCCTGTTAAGATTAAACAAGTATACTTTTCCTATCTATCTCTTGTAATGCCCTGATGAGTGAGAGCAGCACAGCCAAGTGAAAAAAACATTTACATTTATATCCTGGGCAGTAGTTAGTATCAGCTTTCTTTCCTCAGGTTTGCCCCTGCCATTGTTGTGAAGGTCGCTTCACTCTCTAACTCAATAGCTTGGAAATTCATCAACAGAAAACAGTTCTGCTGTTCATCAACAGCAGAACTACTTCACCAGAAAGGGTCTAAGAGGTCTTGAGTCTTCTAGAGATAAAAGGAATCTTCCATGTTGCCAAACTCAAGGGACCCACGGGAAATAAAAAAGAAATGAGGGTAAACCTCCCTTCCCAAAATGCAAGCCTTTTCAACCTTTCCCTGTTCCCTATAGACACAGCTTTTGCAGGAGGACCATCTTGGCTTTCAGAGGTGCTGAGCACCTCTGATTCCATAGTTTAGGACAGCCATCCATCTCACTTGGCTCATCCCTCTCAGAAGGATGTTAATACATGCCCTCTATCACAAACTGCTTTGTGAGACCTGAATTAACGTGTCTCCAGTATCTCAAATGGCATTTAAACTGTTAGGTTATTTCTTAAGATCTCCAAAAGAAGCTGAAACAAAATGTTTCTGTCAAAGGCAACAAATGAGATCAGCTGAAAGGAAAAATGTGTACAAACCAAAGCTTTCACAAGCTTCCTTGTCATCAAAAAATTGGTTTGCAAGATCCAACACTTTGAGAGAGACAAAATTGGGCAGAGCAGCAGCTAGGAGGAAAGAATAAAAAAGACAGTGTCATTCTTGGAACATAAATTAGCAGTTTCTCTCACTCTTAAGTTTTTAAAAGTCAGTTTTCTGTATTTAAAAAAAAATCCTACCTAAAGAAGACAAATCTTTATCTCTCAAAAATGACCCAGTTAACTTGATTTCTGTTAGTTTCTTGCATGAAGAAATTGCTTCCAGAAGGGATTCAGCCTTGAAGTAGCTGAAGCAGTCCAGGTGCAAAACAGAGAGGTCTTGGAAGCTCTTAATAAATTTGACTACCAAAAAAAAAAAAAAAAAAAAAAAAAAAAGAGTTACAATACTGGAGATTCATTGTAGAGTGAAGAAAGGTCAAAAATCAACAAGGTTCTCCTAGCTCCACCTGTGTGAACTTCACTGTAGAAGGAAGCATCTTCTTTCACAACAAAAGCCAGTGAGATAGATAAAAGATGAATGGGAGCAGCAGCTTGATTCCTCTGTTAGCATGTAAAAATCGGAATCGTGATGGATCATTGTGGCCTTAAAATGCAAGCAAGCTTTGCTATAGATTCCTTTCTGGCTTCTTTCACATGTGAAAAGTATTCTAGTTTTTCAACATTTAGTGGGACTGAAACTCTTTAAACACCTTGCCCCTGAAGTTACTTGGCATAGGTACATTGTAAAACCCTATCCAATGGCCAGATGCTGAGGATACTGTCCACTGAATGTTGTTGGTTTGTGCCATATGTTTGTGTTGAAGTAGAGCTGGGTAACTGTTATCATAATGTAAAAAAAAAAATGGTTACTCTAGGGACGCTGGACTGAAAAGCAAGCTTCTTTGTGAACCAAGGCAGCTAAAACAGAAGTCACAACCCGCTCATTGACCTGTCAGAGCAGCTATGCCATGATCTAGTCTCAGTTGCCAGTTGTGCTCCCTCTCTTCCTCCTCCCAGCAGACTGCGAGTGGTGAGAAGGGAAAATACTCCAGGAAAACAAAGAGCACAGTCCTGCTCATTCCTCCATACCAGTTTATGGAGGTCAATAAACCTACAGTACTGAAAGGTTCAGCTCCTCTTTTTTGTTGCAGTGGTAAGCTCAAAGTAGAAGCTGTAGGGCTGAAGCAATGGGAAGACAACCCAGAGATGCTACACGCCTGTTAAAGAAGAAATTAAAACTGCTACTCAGTATTAACAGGTTCTAGTAGAATACAGTACCTAGTGTTTTAAGTGCACCTTACCCAGCCCCGAGCTGTTTTCAAGCTTCATTGTGCTTATCAACAATTTCTTCATGTTACAGAGATTTTTGAAGCCATCAGGTATTGTATCAAACACGTTGCAGTTCTCACGTTGACTCACTGACAGTTCTTCCAGGCAGCTGAATTTGTCCAAGTTTGAAAAAAGTAATTCTGTGATGAAGACAAAAGTACGATGAAACTGGGTTGATCTGCTTAAACCCTCCGTTCTCCTAACAATTTGCCAAGGTTTCTGTAGCTGAACTTCACTATCTCACATATTTGGCTTCCCTCCTCTTGACTGCTGCTTCCTATTCTCCTTGTACCGCTGCCCTTCCCTGCCAACCCTTCCTTTGCTGAGGCTTCTGCTGCTTTCAGCCTGAGCATGTGCCTGTCAGGATCCCATACATGCACCCACACTGCCAATACTCTTCTATTTTAAAAGCCCAGTGCAGACCCACTCAGACTGGCCCCAGCAGAAAATGCATGCCCATCAGTGCCTGCTAGCTTGTCCTGCATACTGCACAATCCTCTGCTGAAGTGCAGTGCTGCCTCTGTAGAGACATACACCTCTTAGATCAAAAACCAGTATCAAGGTCACGGTCTGGAGTTCGGGGCCAGGATGGAAATATGGCCAGAATGGCTGCCTATCCCCTCAAATGCATATGGTAGAAGACAGCGTTATTATTCATTAATATGATGCTGTTCAGTTGTCAGGAACCAAGGGGAGAGGAAGAAAAAGGGAACTAGAGAGAAAAATTACATTCTGCCAAAATTCAGTATGCTGTACCTGGCATTTCTTTTTCATTTATCTCAAGACATTCCACAAAAGGCATTGAGAGAAGTAATTCTTGCTCTGTTTTGCTCAAGTTAAGATGATATAGACCACATTTTTTAAAATGTTCCCTGTACTGTTCAATAGCAGGTCGGATAACTTCTATGAATCCAGGACTGTTATATAGCTCAAGTTCAATATAATCCGAAACGGAAAACAGTGTCATCAGATTTCTGAGGTCAGCTTCATGAAAGGAACTGATGTTGCTGAAACTACATTTTAAAAGTGGCATCTTCCCTGTCGTAAATAGGAAAGGAAACACAGTGAAGTCTGGTAGATGTCTTCGTGTCATTGAAAAAAAGGTATTAACAGTTTTTTCTTCTTCTTTAATTTTTTGTGCAAAGTCATTACAAAGTGTAAATGCAGGAGCGTAATCCCGGTCAATTGTTGGCATCTCCAGTGAAGAATAGCAAGCTCCTAGTTCAGACACATTAAATTCTTGTTTGTGTTTACTTCCTTGTACTACAAGCTGAAAACTACTCGGTAGAGACAGTGATTCTGGGTAATCCTGAAAAAAACGCAACTCAGAATTTTGTGGTAAAAAAAGTGAACCTAACATAATATTTTTACCTCTTAGGAACTGTAAAATGATGGGGGCACACAGAGATACAGTATTACTCTTATAAACTACAGAAGTAGCAAAGTTCAGTAAATACTGAATGAAAACTGCAAGAACCAGTTTTGAGTCAAAAAAATGTAACTGGTCAATGAACAACATTTTCATTGGAAGGTCTGAATGGTGCTGCAGATCTTCATCATTTTCTGACTGGCTTTCCAATGACTCCTTGCAGTCAATCAATTTAAATAAATAGGATATAATTTGGGGGACTGCTTTGGAAGAAAAGCTGCAAGCGTAATCCAATAAAAAATTATAGCGTCCAGCAATTTTTCTAAATGTGTTGATTTGCTGTAAGTACTGCAGCCCTTGCTCCAGTTTTTCTTTTTCGTCAGAAACCAGGAGCTCACTGAGTCTTCTCCCTGCAAGAAACTCCTGAAACAAGGGGTGAAAGAATTTATAAACTGGGTGAAGCCTTTGGGCAGTAAATTTGCTCAGTAAACCCAGCCTAACAGCTTCATCTCCGTCAACTCCTGCTTCAGATAGATCATACTCCATGAAATCAAAGGATGGCTTGAAAAGACCAGTTAAGGCAAGCTCACCACATGAGGAAAACATAGCCAGCACATGTTCTCTTTCTTCACTGTGCTTTAGTAAGTGATAGAGTAGATAGGCTTTAAAAATGGCCTCACCACTGATTATGTTACCCTTTGGGTACTGTACCCAATATGCAGCGAGAGACACCATAAAAAGTGGTGTCTTTAGAACGGTCTGCATAGACTTTTCAAGCTCCAGCTGAACAAGAAACCGCTCCACGAGGTCAATATTGTAGGAGAACAATTTCTTTAGTGTATACAGAGTACTGGAGACAGGGAATTCTGTGATGCTTAAAGTCGTGGTTGCATACTTGCGAATTTCTCTCATCCTGTCAGTACGGACAGCAACAACCAAACAATGCTGGTAGAGATGGTTCCTTTGTATGAGTTCTTCTACAACTTGAGGCACTGAATTCACCTCACTATAGTCATCCAAAAGAAATAAGACCTGGTTTTTCAGTGGCTGAATTACGTCTCTTAGAGTTGTTTCTGTTAACGGTCCCACAAATCCTCCTGGTTGATTGCATATAATATCAGCCATGCTCTGATCTGGTCGTGTGCAAGTCAGGGAGAGGTAAAATACAAACTTAAACCTGCTTAGAATGGGGCAGCAGCCTGAGGCCCAAAGAAGAGCTATTTTCCTGAGTAATGCTGTTTTTCCACTTCCTGCTTCACCTTCCAGCACAATAGTGGAGTTAAGGTTCACAAGGATTTCATGAAGAAAGAGATGCTGTATTGGCTGATCATTAATATCCTTTGAGACAACTGATAGGTCCCCATAGAGTAATTTCAAGTCAATAGCCAGATGGTTTGAGTTCCCAAAGGAAAATAATTTGCGGAAGCTTTTATCATTGTAAGCCTCTGTAAGTTGTTCGGTCAAGTTCTTTGCTTCTTGAAGACACTGACTTTCAACAAATGTCATGTCTGCAAAAAGGATGACATTAAATAATAAAGCCTAGTGAACAGTTGATTCTATACACAAAAGTCAAATATAGTCAGCTACCCATTAAATTGGAGTAATAAGAACCTAAGAATTTCTAGATAATGGAAAAAACTGGTATCACTTCTTCTGGATAAACTAAGTTCCCACCTTACTTTCTGTCTTACTCAGGACACAGCTTTGCACCCATCTGGTTTAATGTGGGGTTAGTTTGTGTGTAGCAAGTAATTGAGTGATAAACTTGAGCTAAAAAGCTTTGCTGTACCTGACCTATCTCTGTGCAGAGACATGCTGGCACATCCGTGTGATGATCCCTAGCCTTCCATGGTCTGGAAAGAATAATTAGCTTAGGTGCAACAGTACGTCAATAAACGACTGGCTTGCCAGCCTCTCAAGCAGGCTGAGAGAGTGGCAAAGACACATTCATTTGGCACCATGCAGACAAAGTTGTGTTAAACTTAACCTAAACATCCTTTCTGGGCCCACATTAGCTTCCTACAGAGCCACTAAGTCTCTACACCACTCTCTCTAAAGCTATTGCTCTGCCAGGGTTTCTAAGACCTGGTACAGAGCATCAATCCTGGATAGAGCCAGCCTGTGCCCATAGGACAGTTTATCCACAAAGTGGATAATCTGCCCCAAAATAAATGTGTGGGGACTGTACTTTGGTATTTTCGAACAGCTGAAATAAGGTAAATGTACTGCATACATGTATCACAAAACCACTCCCTTGCAATGACCACAGTGTTCGGAAAAAGGAAGCATCAGAAGAAAAAGGTAGTGGAAGGTGATCCCAGCCTAGTTTCTTTTGTATCTAAAAGCATGTACATAAGACATGTAGAACGCAGCTGATAGCCATTTGCGCTTCTCCAAATCATGAATGAAAAAAAAAATCATACCATACTGTGACAAAATAATTTAGCTTGCTTGTATGCCTCATCTGCACAGAAGTGACTTTCACCTGCTAAGGGATTGGTTTATATTAATAATTACAAAAGCAAACAGTAAGTGACAGTTTCTGTACTATTTGTTGTCCCTATATATGGACAATCCTTAAATCCTAACTCAGTCCTTACTCCAATCAAAATTTCATCTTACTAGGTAAGGGCCAAATCCAGAAAACCATTAACAATCCTCTCAAACTAAAATGTAAATTCAAGAGAGGCTGCACAGTACTTACCAGCTCCTACAGAATGTACGGTTGCTTTCTCTTCAAGATTTTCTTTACAGGGAGTTTGCTAGAGTAAAAATAGATCCAGTTATACTCCCTTAAATATTTATTATTTAGTTCAAACTGAGTTGATCAGGTACCAGGAAGCACAAGCAGCTACAAGTGCAATTCACAACAGATGCAGTACTAGCTCTGTATTTTTCAACACTATCAAAATTCTTTTACTCCTCCCAGAAGCAGGACCTCAGCCATAATCCCCCTCTATCTTTATCTCTCTCTCTCCCACACACAAGCTACTTCCATCCCAGGGTTTTGCTGCCTGCCTACCAAGGGTATGAGGCCCAGCTCTGATATCACGCAGGTGCATAACCTTGATGCAGACTGTCGAGAAAAGCCAAGAGAGGGTCTGCAGGGGTGGGGTGCGGGGAAGATACCCGTTACAGGCAGAGGCAGCAGGGTGAGACAGAGCGGCTGGTGGCCAGAGGACTCTGCCTCGTGCCTGCCCTGCAGAGACCCTTCGTTCGCCTGAGCAGGGCGGAGAGCATGCTAATGCTCAGCCTCAGAGCTCGTAACATCCCATCTATCTTCAGCATGAGTTAGCGAATATATAATCGCTTTGTACTTCTCAGCTGCAGGCACCTTCCCAAGGTGCCTGAACAAACCGACCCATGAGAGGAGCTGTGAGAGCTCCCACAATGACACGTCCCACACAAAATCTCTCCACTAGCTTCCTGGAATCCCCCAAGTTGGGACTCAGCTTTCCCCCTCCCACCAGCCTCCCCGCGTGGCCCCTCGACAGCCCTGTGTTTCCCGTGGCTGTGCCCGGCTCCCCGGGACGGGGTACTTTGCTACCAGGAGCGGAGCACGGGGGCCCAGGTGCTGTGGTGCACATTACAGTTCGCCAGCAAAGGATGACTGCTGTTAATTACCGAAGAGCTGATCGCCAGTAGCTGCCCTGCAGAGGTGCTTTCTCTGCCATTTGGGCCAACTGCAGGCAGACAGCTGCTGTGTGGGGGCACATGTTTGAAGACTTAGGGTACCAGAACCACAGGGCTCAGAAGCACCTTTAGGGAGGCAGAGGGCGGCTGCCACTGCCTGCATCACACCGAAACAGGTCACATACCCCCCCACCTGTTCAGCAAACCAACCTCTGAAACGCGGTGCATTCAAAAGGTTGTCTGGGATGAAGAACTGCAATAAGCTGCTGTTGCTGCTCGCTCTGCACACACACGCGCAGAGGTTCCCTGTAACTCTTATTTAAAACTGCAAAGCACAAAAATTGCCTCGCTAACAGCAAATACTGCAGACTAGCACAAACCTGTGCAGACTGTAACATCGATGGGCTCTCTGGTCGCTCTTTCAGTGACTTTCCAAGTACTTCCAAGCAGTTGGAACTAGAACGATGTTTTCAAAAGACGCAGCAATTAGTGCAATGCCTTGCTTGAATTGCTTACATTTGGCAGAAAGATGGAATTATTTCACAAACATTCCTTTTGATTGGAAACTTCTACTGTATTTCTACATTTCAACATTACTTCCAAAAAGGGTTTTCACAGAGGCACAATGTCCTATACATTCAAGAAACATATATGTTATAAAGTAGCATTAAAAAAAAAAAGCAAAATTGTATGGCAACTTGCATCGCACTGCAGGAAATTGTCTTAAGATACTCTGTCACTCACTTAGGGAACCATTTTGCATGTCCTTCCACAGGATTTTCACCTTCTTCCCATTCCTGTAAGCAACCTGCACAGTTGAAGCACTGTACCATATCGCCTTTTCCTGCAAGCAAGATATTACACACCTCAAAAATGATTACGTACATGATTTTTTTTCCTTACTAACATGCCAGCAGCATAAAAACTACAACAATGCAGTTGCTTCATGAGTTTACTTTGGTGACCGGGAATTACATGCTTTTTAAATCACGACTAATAAAAATTAAATCAAGGAAAAGTAAATGCCACAGAATTGACAGATGTGGCATTATTGTCCTTTTAGTGACACCAGACAAATGAATATATCAGTGCCCAGATAAACGCTTTCTCCTTTCTAAAAACATATCCTCCCTGCAACTCTTTGCTCTGGATTTCACCTCAGACAGGATCATCCCATTTCAATTCCCTTGCCCTGACTTTTGCAAAAGCTGTTCTGATTTTGCAGCAGCATTACTCTCCTTACTGAAAGCTAAAGCAAGATTTTAATTAGGTACCAGGACTACCTTGAACGTCTGCCCCACCTGCATTGGAAAGTGGATCTTTTACTTGTACTGTGTTTATATAGCTAACAAACTTGTTTCATACCTGTATAGAAAAACCCAGCTTTAGCAAGAGCAGTGGCTTCCACACGGGCTTCTGCTGGCCAAGTTTTAAAAGAGTCCAGTCGAACTCCTTCATCCTCAAAGATGTTCAAGACAAGATCACCTTTGCAACCAAAGACATTTGATTAACTAAGCTTTAGCCTGTTATCAGCTTCTCCAAAGCAGGAACAGAACTAGATTGCAAATATCCCAGGCTTAAAGCGAAGCAAAAACACAACTACAAAACCATATCTTTCAGACAACTATAGGTGTATATTCTTGATTTATAGTACAGAAGAACATTTCATTGTTCTTTCAAAGAAAGCCTTCAGGTTTCATTTATCTTTCACCTCACTCTCAGACAGGCACATGCAAATGATCTACTTAAACAGCATGTTTTATATTGAGCTTCTACAGAGAACAAATTTTTACTTGTGGTAAAAATTTCAGAAATACAGAACCAGTAATTATTCATACATGTAATCTTGCTTAAAAAACTCCAAACCAACCATATGGAGCAGCTTTTATTGTTAATTGTGATGTACAATAAAAATATGAAGGAATTATTTTCTAATGAAAAGCTAACAGCATATTCTTTTTTTTTTTACCTGCTGCTGTAGATAAATTCTCCCTGATACAGGAAGCGGTGAAATGCCTCCCCTAAGTGGAAAATTAAAAATTAATACTTATTTCTATTATGCATTCTATTTTCATTTCACTCTTCAGCTAAACAAAGGAATTAACTACAATATATACACAAGGCTAGTACTAAATATCAACATTTTAAATGTTTTTAGTTTGAAAGAATTTTCTGAAACAGAATTGACTAATGATGGGTTACTATTAATGAGGAAAAAATGGCTCTCCTCAGACAGTAGCAGCTTGAAAAAAAGAAAGAAAGATAGCACTGATGTTCTTAAGATATCTGAGATGATGTTTTCCAAGCAATACTTGCAGTCCTCTCGTCTTACGTTAGCTAATGCGTTTAGCTTCCAGATTTTTTTAATTTTTGAGGCATAGAGATTTTAATCATGAAAGATGGTACATATATTTTTTTCTGATGAAAGCAAGTCCCCCACACAAAGATGAATTCATACAAGAGCTGGCAGGGTAGAAGTCGCCTAACCTGACTTCAGCCATGCAGAAGGGCTTAGTCTAGCACACTCACCTACAATCTTCCTAATAATCAATATATATGTATAGGTGCCATGAGGAGTTAATTAGTCTGCCTTTGAGTAGGATAAATGCCAATTAGAGGTAAGTTGCTTTTCATCAATGAAATTCCTAGGTATTGCCTAGGCAAGCAGCTTGGATGCACACGTGAAAATAAACTTACATGAAACAAATTCCACCTAGAGCGCACAGTGTTAATTACGTATGCAATTATACCCAGCTTTTGGGTTGTGGGGTTTTTTGGGTTTTGGGTTTAGTTTTTTGGGTTTTTCGGTTGTTTGGGGGTTTTTTTTTTAAGAGGAAGAGGCTGGAAATCAGTGTCAAGTCCTCATTTGCCTATCTTTAAATCCCAGATAGTGCCTCCTTGGGGTGTATTAGACAATAAAGGAAGATTGAAATAGATTACAAGATTACCACCACTCCAACAAATCCACTGTATGTTTCAATATACTTTTTAATTTCCTCACTTGACTTCTTACTCTGAAGGAATTCACACCTATAAAAAAAAACCAAACCAATATTCCTAAGAATTAATTCCAACTAAAATTCTGGAAGCAGTGTTTCTATTATTAAGAGGTGCACACTCAAGATTTTTCACAACAGAAAGACAATGAAACAAAGGCAAACTTTTTAGTGCCTCAGCATCGTTCATGCAACATAGTGACTGAGAGAATAATCAGCTGGCTTTTGCTCAATGAAAAGCCCATGGGAGATCTCTAGAAAGTATGTAAAACAATATATATAGAATAATTATAAGGCTACGAATAGCAGACTTATACTGTTCAGTTTTCAGAAATAAAGATCTGCTGAAATCAATTGTCTGAATATAACTACCTTGAAGACAAAAACATGGGGGCTTTTTTATTTGCTTTCCAGCACAGTTGCTGAGGAAAAAAAGAGATATTGAAACCCAATCAACCTTTTATGTACATATAGAAATATTTCTAGGTCAGTCAGTCAACTTACTCAGGAAACCATTTAGCATGTTCTCTCCAAGGATCATCACCATCTTCCCAATTTCCCAGACATCCACCACAAGCAAAACACTGCACTGTATCTTTCTTGCCTGCATGTAGAAAGTTACGGATCTCAAGAGATAATCACACATTTGTGTGTTTTACTCACACACTCTAGCCACAAGACCAGGGTATATCATTGGTCCAAAATTTGTAGCTAAGGGAAGCCTTTTTCTTGGATTACAGCAACTGAAACTAAAAAGGTTTACAAAACTGCTTAGATTTCTATTTAATTTCTGTTGGGTCAATGTGGGTCTAAACTTGCTGCGGATCCAAAAGTGAAAATGTGAGGTAGATCTTTCCATCAAAACAAAACTTCAGAAATATCTGAGAAAGTGTATAGGCTTGACAGAATAAACTTGTCTTTTTTGTTGTCTTTTTTTAAAAATTTTGCATTCTTCCTAGTCATCTTATTTGTAAATGAATGATTCTAGAAACCAACAAAATAAGATGGGAGAACTAGAATTGCCATTCCTAATTTAACGTATTGATAGTCAGCATAAACGTGATGGAAGAAAGACAGGTCAGTCAAACGCTGTAATGCCAGTATATAAAATATTCAGGAAAAATTGAGTAAACAGTGCTAGAAGGAAGAGGAATATCAGACCTTAATGATATCTTAGAACAAAATCAAACTAATCAACAAAGACGAAAGATTTTCTACAGAAGGGAATTTCAGGCCTCTATGGAATAATACAGTTCTTGGTCCACATTACCAGCCAACCAACCAGGATGACAAAACTGAGTAGGTAATGCTCAAAGAAATGAGAGAGGCACGGTGGGTGAGAAATAGAATTGTACCCAGTGACTCCAGTTATCCCTCAAGTGCACTGCGCAGACACCACCATGAGATGCAAAGTAAAGGTGACTTTTTTTTTTTAGGGACGATCAGGCATAATCTCACGGGGCAACTGGTTAGCAAGTGTACAGGATTATGTGACTTGGTATTGAGAAATGCACTGGGAAGAGCTCAAAATCTCATAGTGCAAGTGTCACTGTGTAACCATGATTGCAATTTACATAGATGCAACTTCCCCCACAGAAAGAGGGAACCTAGTAAGTTCATCTTAAACTTCAAAAATAGGAACTACGCAAGGGTAAGGAAGCTGAAATGGCTGACTAAATAGAAACAACCAAATACATTTACAACAAAAAAAAAAAACCAAACCAACCTCCCCCAACAACTCTCCTACAGGCATTTGAGAGGTTCCTGAAAGATGTTTTACTGGAAGTGCAACATCAGCATGTGCTATTTATGAGAAAAGACTTACGAAAAGTCACAGGAAAGGAGTATGACTGACAGGAAAATAAATCAAGATTATAAGAATTAAAAAGGTATCACTCAAAAAGCTGAAGCTTTTGAGCAAAGAAAACAGAAGGCTCAAAAGCTCTGAGAGACGGTGTAAATTAAATCAGGCAAGCTGGGGGAAAGAAAAAAGGTCCAAGAGTAGCAAGCTAAAGGAATCTAAACCTTCTTCCAGGGAGCAGGAGGCAAAAGCCAGTGAGGGGAGCTGGTGGAGCCAACTGCTAACCAGGCTGTAAAAGAACCATTCAAAAGGGACAATGCAATTGCAGAGGACTTGAAGTGACATTCTCTGCAATGTTTGCATTAATGTTCGCTACAGAAGAATTCAGGGAGATTCCCACTGTCTAAAGCAGGGGGGCCATACAGCAGAAGATGGATCCAAAATACAAGCAATTATGCAATAGATTATGGCTGAATAGGGAAAACATAATGCCAATCTTTAAAAAGCAGTCTGCACCTTTTGGGGAAAGGAAGAGACATCAGATCTGTAAGCCTAGCACCTGTTACAGACAAATAAGCAGAAAAAAGTATAATTATGCCACTGTACAAACCCACGATCAGTCCACATCTTAGACAGCGTATGTGATTGAGATCCCCTCAACTCTAAAAACACTGTATTAGAACAGGAAAAGCAGCAGGGAACAGCAGCAAGGATGATAAAAAATGTGGAACACCTTCTACATGAGGAACAGTTGAGTTGCCTGTGTTCTTCAGACTACAAAAGAAAGCATTTACAGGGGATACAACACATTGCAAAATGATGAGCTGCACGACAAAAAGAATGTTCTGCCCATTCAAGTATTGTAAGCAGACTCACATCGTTTCATAAGTCAAACCAGAAATCCCTCCAAGCATCGCTTCCAATTACCTGTGAAGAAAAACCCAGCTCTGGCAAGTGAATCAGGCTTTGTTCCTCTGGCATAGAACGGCCATCCATCAAAGGACTGCAGCCTTGCATCTTCTGTGCTGTATCTCAAGGCATGCTCTGCTGGGTTCTTCTCCAACTTCTGAACACGTACGTCATACTTTGAAATATTACCCACCTCTTTCCCCAGGATAAATTCACATGTGGGACGAAATTTCTTGTGCTGTTCGTAGGGGGTGTATCTAACCTTCGTGGAAAATAAAACTAATCCACAGCAAAAACACTGCACACTGGATTTAACAAGTGTGTGATAAAACCCGGCAGCTGCCATTTCTGTCAAAGACCACGATGAGTAAGATGTATAGGACAAGAAGGACTTTAATCTATTGTGTTCATTTCTCATGGTAGGGTTGTAACTCTTCTGCAGCTGTTTACGGGCTTCTTGGAATTCTGCCTCCCTGTTTTTGACAAACATGCAAAAATCAAAGCCTGCATGCGGGAAATAAGCTTGCAATCCGGCAGGACTCAGCTCACGTATTTCACTGTCATTTGTCTCCACTGTAGGGTCCTCCTTGGCAGACATTTTTCTGAAAAACCAAAGACTACCAAATTATACTACCCGAATCTTCTAGGTAACATTCAGTCATCACCTCCGTTACCTTAATAACATGGTTTCTGCAGGTTATAAACGTTTGATTTCACCTTACTAAGAGGAGATAAGGTAACTGTAGAGATGATATAAAAAGGTGTATTATTAAATCTGACTAGCCAAATTGAGACTTCTGTGAATTCTGATTGACCACGTATAAAGGCAGTATCAAGGATGCTGAAGCCTCTACAATCAAAATGAGGGAAAGAATAGACATCAACAGGTGAGATTTGAGCAATATGACACAGGATTGGCAGATCCTAAGAGCTTCAGTCTGTAGCTTAAAAAACCGGAATGGCCTCAGTAAAGCAACACACCTCCATCATCCGAATTCTTCCATCCCAAAGCCATGACTGAAAGTTGCTAGCACATTTTTAATTTCTCCTTAAATTAGAAAAAAAAAAAGGTGGCAAAATATACAATGCCAAGTAGAAGACAGGAAGTAGAAGTGAAAAACAGAAAAAAAAAATTCAAAGAAAGCAATTGTTTTATTGCAGTATTTTTAAATTTTAGCTGTTTTCAACGTAAGTAGTGGCTAGCAGGAATCGCATAATCTTTCATGAAAAGGAACTGGGATTTCAACATCACAAAGTGAAATTAATTTGGCAATGAAATTTATTGCCAAACTCATACTGTCAATACTTCTCTCCAATAAAGTGGTGTTATTAAATGTTTGGTATTTACACTAATCTTCTCAAATAGAGCTCATCTTGTAGAAGTAGTAACTTTTGTTGGTTTTAGTACTGTGGTAAGACAACCATAGGAAATATTTTGCTATGTGATGGTTCAGAAAGCAGCAAACTTGTCTACAGTTTAGCTCCATAAAGTCTAATTCTGCTCCCCCCACCTCCAAAGAGCTTTGATTTCTCAAACAATTGAGGGATCTTAAGAGATTTACAACATTTACCAAATTCATCCTCAAGAAAGTGATTCTAAATCCAGAATCTCCAATCTCCTGTTTTTACTCATTTTCACTGTTTATAAAAATCACTATCTCCTCTCATAGGAAAATGTGTGCTAACAACTTAAGTGCTTTCAAATCCCAAGACAAAAAGTGCTGCAGAAGTTGTAAAAGTCTTCAAGTTCTATTACATTTTGAAAAATTACTTTCATGAATTGCACTATGGGCACCCCATGTATTTTTTCCTAAATATGTAAACATGATTCTCATTCAAATTTGATGACTTTTAAAATAAAATTAATCTACTCTCCTTCCTTCAGCCAGGAGTCTGCACAACCCAGTAATGCTTCAGAATTAGTACTTAGTGGCATTTTTTCAGCTATAAGCTACGTGACAATCTAGAACTAAAACTGTTCCTCATATTGACCGGGACGCCATTAAATTCTGCACGAGTTGTTGTTGTTGACGCAAAACTAAACCCAGACATTTCTTCCACTCCTGTTCTAATGAATGCATTTTCAGCACTGCCAGCCTTGGTAACCAGTTACAACCATTAATACAGATGGTAACTTCTATTCCTGCTAGCAAGTACGAAGCACACAGTAAAGCAAGGGCACTCACCTGTCAGAAATCCCCTTCACTCCATGTGGCAGTGCGCTCTCTAATCTCACTGTGCCTTTCAGCCTCAAACTTCTTGCCACAGTTGTGCCCTCAACCCCACCATAGGATGCTTTTGTCTTTTTGTCTCTTCCCCCAATGCTTTATGTCCAAACTGTATTATGCAACTTCTTCAGGAAGTGTAAGAATTTCCCACAGGCTTGCCAATAACCTCACCGATTGACTCATCTTTTAGCAGATCCAGTAAATAAGAAAATAGAGTAACAAGAATGAAGCAGGGTGTAGCTTCCCACAAGCAAAGGAGGCTTGAGATCCAGAGAATCCCAGTCGAACACTGCAGATGAAGGAAGAATTTCCTCCATGATGCTTTAAAAACAAAGGCCCCAGCTGAAGTTCTTTACACATCAGAGAAATGTTGCCCCAATAGTGATTTTTCAGGACCTAGTTTGAACTGCTCTTCCTATCCAATGAGAAGGGTGGAAAACTACAAGTCACATCATTACTCAGACCACAAGCAGATTATGGAGTACATGGCCACAACTTCCACACAGCTTCTACTTCCAAGTATGTTATTTTGGTATCTAGCAAAGAGAAAAAAACTGGAACAGATTTAAAGTGTTTAGACAAAACCTTTTTTTCCCATTAGGAAATACTGTCAGGATGAAAGTATTATCAGAAAACATCGTATCAAGACACTGTCACCAGTATCAGAGTATCCAAGAGCCAGATGCTTAGGACATTCCTTGGGCTTGGAATGGGCTACTCGACCACACCAACCCCCATGGATATGTCATTTTTATGCTAGTTTTTAGGACACCCTTACAGTAACAGGCACTGCAGTCACCTGATAGCACAAAGGGTTTATAGAGATTGTTTAAATCAGCACAAAATGAAACACAGATGCTGAAACAGTCATTTTTCTGCCAACATAGCAGAATTACTGCCTCAGCCAGACTGCAGCTGTAACAAGTAGAAGAAGCAGAAGCCATGTTAAAAATTGAGAATTTGCACGTTTAAAGGACTTGAAACAAAAACTGCCTGTGAAAACTGAGAAGTAGCATGTATTGTTTGTACATGGTGAGCATGAAAAACAGGGAACTAACTTAAGATGGGGGTTTGATTTTTCTGTTTGCTTGTTTGCACTTTTAAGGTTCAGTGGTTAGATGATTGCTCTTCCTAATCTGACAACAAAAGTCACAGTTTTAAAAATTAAGTCAAATACATCCAGAGTAACTCAGTCACTGATCTATTAAAAACAACACAAGATGACTTCTGAAAACTAGAGGTGATGTACTGCTTTATAGACACTGCACCATCACAACTTCCTCCTACTGAGGTGTAGCATGCTACATTCTCAAAAGTTCAAATTGCAATCACATTTTGAACAGAGACTGCAAAATGGTGAACAGGGTCTTGCACTTGTCTCAATTTCCATTCTTCACTGCTCAGGTAAGGATGCGTGCTTCTCCTTCTCCCCCTGCCTCTTCTTCTGTTGTCTGTTGTTCTGGGGCTTTAGCCAAGGAGAGAAGATGACTTGCAGTTCTGGCAATTCATTCTAGCCTCAGAATCAGAATAGCATCACTTTCTTCAATACTGTGACGATCAAACAATAGTTTGTATAAATTCAGGTCTTACAACATTGCAAATTCATTGCCTTTCAGCAACCTCACACTCTGACAAGACAGTGAAACTTAAGCTGTACAACTACAGACACAACAGTAATACAATTCACTCAGTTTTGAGCTGTACCATTAAAACCTAAAACGCGTTTTCAGCACATTTTTAACAGCTGTATTTGCGTTTCCTTACTGAAAGCCAAGGTGATTAGCCACAACACTTCAAATTAGTATTTGAAATGTTCCCCCACTGATTGCTCAAAAACATCTTTGTTAAATTCTTAAAAAAATATATTTTGATCTATAGAAGTCCACCATCCACCAGAACCAAGAGCTTCTAACAATTGATATATAAAACATATTTTCAGGGCTTCTTTTTTTAACAAATAATGAAACAAAGATGAATCATCACATTATCATAGAAACCAGTTTTATCACTTTCACATTTACAAATATACATGGTACTCACAATAACTTTCTGGAAGAGCCAGAGCTTTTCAGACAAGAACAAAGAAAAGAACTCAGACACAGATGATTCAAGAATATATTAGCAGTAAAACAATCATTAATACATTAGCCAAAAGTTAAAGTTTGTTCCCAAGCCGGAGTTCATTCTCCTGTAATCATCTAGGTCCTTCTTGTTTTGAGGTGCATCAGTGGATATGGCTGAATAAGCAAAATAGATTTATGCAAGAATTACATAGATATGACAATTTCTAAAAAGAGATGGTATCATACAGATACAGGAGCAGGGTGCTCGTGAATGCAGCCAGGACAGCAGTGCAGAGAATCATGAACAAACAAATCGCATTCCACACAAAATGCATTCTGACACACTTTACATATGTAAACCTGTGTGGAAAAGATAGAAAAACAAGTCAAAATAAAAAAAAATTATCACCATCATAGCACTACAGTAGGGCAACAGCTGCATCATCAACGTAAATAGACTATATTGCTAACATCACAGAAACCCAGTAGAATTACAGGTTTCTAACAGCAAGTATGTCCAAAGGGCTGAGCTCGAGTCACTGTAGATGCCTGAGTAAGAGTGGAAGCTTATTTAAGCAACTCTCTAGGAAATCCCTTCCCACACTTTTACAGACTTTGCAGTGTAAAAGGCGTGAGTCTGTGACAGAGAACTCTAGTTAACCACGAGATAAACTTCCACAGATATTCTTCTGGTCTTTAGAAGACTATACTTAAGGATCATCTCTATTCCTGACACCCCTCAATGCAATTCCAATGCAGTTCAACATACTTACATTTTGATCTTTCATTTCTCCTTGGCAGCCTTGACAATACCTAAAATTGAACAAGTCTGTAAAACGGTGTTTAAAAAACATTTAATATATATTAACAATTTATGGCAATTATTTCAGCTATTCAGCTGAAGACACAGGTAACTGTCAATGGAAACTACAGTATTTCTTGCTGCCAGATGTGTCCCAAAATGCCCATTCAACACTGTCTCCAGTAGCAAAGAAGCTGCTCCCAGCTATTCTTACTTTTCTGACAAAAAAAATTATACGATCCACAAATACACTCATTATCACAAATATGATTTGCATACCGTTCCCCCTGATATTCGTCCAGGGGAACTTCCTGGAAGGCATCCAAAGGAAACAAGTGATGGTAAGAGCGAGCCAGGTGAGGTGCAGACACTAGTGTAAGACCTGCAAATAAAGAGACATCAAAATTATTACAGGAGAGGACTTACCAAAAAGCTTTTCTGTATTAAACAAAGCAAAATGGAAAAAAAGATTTTTTTAATTACTCAGTGGTTCAGAGCTTTTAAGAATTAAAAACCATAGTATTATTTGTCAGCTTTCATAATCCAAACCCTTCCAGAATTAAATCCAAACCAGCAAATTGCCCAAATTTCTAATTAAATGGTTTAACTCAGTCTTTAGAAGAACATTTACAATGCACAGCTGTAGAGTTATAAAGTTTTTCATCCTCACGCCATAAAATAATGCAACCATAGAAAAGTCTTCCAATTAAATCTAAATGCACAACTCCTCTTTGGCAACATGGTTCTGCTGTTTCACATCACCGGTTAAAATGGTGCCCAACTACAAAACTCTGCTGCCGCCTGCTGTAATAGTGCTGAAGCCCTGTGTCAGCTAACACAGATCTGCTGGTTTTGGCTGGGATAGAGTTAACTTTTTTCGTAGTAGCTAGTATGGGGCTACGTTTTGGATTTGTCCTGAAAACAGTGTTAATAACACAGGGATGTTTTAGCTGTTGCCGAGCAGTGCTTACACAGAGCCAGGGCCTTTTCTGCCTCTCACCCTGCCCCACCAGCGAGTGGGCTGGGGGTGCACAAGAAGCTGGGAGGGGGCACAGCCAGGACAGCTGACCCTAACCGACCCAAGGGCTATTCCAGACCATATGATGTCATGCTCAGCATGGAAAGCTGGGGGAAGCAGGAAAAGGGAGACATGTTCATAGCGATGACATTTGTCTTCTTAAGTAACCATTATGCATGATTGAACCCCTCTTTCCTGAGATGGCTGCTGAATTCCTTACTTTGCTTGGCTTGTGTGCAGCTTTTGCTTTACTTATTAAACTATCTTTATTTCAGCCCACAAGTTTTCTCACTTTTACCCTTCCAATTCTCTCCCCCATCCCACTAAGGGGGGAAACGAGTGAGTGGCTGTGCGGGGCTTAGTTGCCAGCTGGGGTTAAACCATGACAACAGCCTAACGTTAGCTGGGCACAGCCTGGCAAAAACTTCTTCATTGCTCACTCACATGCAGTGTAAACTTCCAAGCTCTTGCTCTGCTGACAGCTGCAGCTGTGGAGAATCTGTTGCTGATACATGGGATTTTTCCAGTTACACTATTACTTTGCTGAAACAAAATTCATGCCGACATAAAACCTTAATGTGAAACTAGGACAGGGTGACCCCACACTAGAATTATTTAATTCTCTTGCCAAATACATGCATTTTCATAATACCCATCATGTTTAGTCATATGCCTGTAGAAGCTAAGAGGACAGCTGTTGCTCACACAATATTAATACTACAAAAAAATGCTAATCCTCCCTCCCACCCTCATTAAGGGGGGTTGCAGGGGGAGGCACCATTGGTTGCACAGTCCATTAACATATGCAGGACTGAAGGGCTTCCATTTACAGCTCTGTAGCCTTTCATGTGTCACTGTGCAGCCGGCCCTAGGGTTCAACTTTGAAACCTTTCATCCATACTGCCAGAGGTTGGGGGATACTTCTGTCCTTTTACTCCAAAGCATTCTTTATCTTCATGGCCTTGCACTACGGAGTCAGAAACACTGGTGTGTCTGTTAAATCAGGATTCCTGAGGAAATTATTACCAGTCATATGTGAATCATCCTTCTTTTCCCCTTTGCTTTAGGGATTTTAGTTTATAACATTATACCCGGGAATACGATACAGCTTTACTGTTAAGAGTTATACCCTGGAAGTCCCTTGTACGAAGCCGACATCCCAGGACACAGGAATTCAGGCTTCTTAAAGCTGAGCTGGTTTTTAATTCCTAAGTATAGTTGAATTTTTCTACCCCTTAACTCTTACCACTAACTCATAATTCATCTCCTCAGCTTTTCTTGCTACTCACCACAGATTTTGCATTCCACAGGCAGCTCACAGTATTTGGCTCTGCACTGGGGACAGAAATAGCCACCTAGCGTAAGACCTGGCTCACTGTTGTTTTCCAATTGCCTAGAGCAGAGAGAGACAACTTAATACTTAAGAAGTAACACCGTAATACTACATAACTACAAATACTACATAGTTCTCACAACAAATAGTTTATAAAGTTTCAGTAGCTTCCACGCAACAGTTTCACGTGTATGGAAGTGTCAGAAAGCAATTGATAGGGTGAGATACCAGTAACCACATTTTGCCACAGAGACACAACAAAGACCAAATTTTCCCACATGAAGAAGCCAATATATCTTTTAAAAATAGTGTCACGAAAGATAACAGCATTAGTATTTCTACTTAAACACACAGAGAAATACTCTGTATTGACTCCGAGATGCATGTTAGTACTTGTTCTTCCAAAACAGACACTGTTTCCTTCTGAAAGTTCAGACTGCCCTATCATCCCTGAAAACTCTGATTCCTTTCGTTGAGAAGGGCACCAATATGCTAATCAAAACAAGGTCTCTATTTTAAACTTTGCTTTAAAGTCACATTAGTAAATAGATTAAAAAAATACTTTATTACAGATAATACCCTTCATCCTCATCATTTTTATAGTGATAAAAATGCCTGAATCAAAAAATGCAAGTAAAATTGGTAGTAATTACTTTAATAACTTGTAGCTCCCTTGTGTTTAATCACTGCACAACACAACTAAAATCCATTTACTACCTTCAAAAAATTGTAAATGTAAGTTTTAAAAAGCATATTTAACAGAGGTAACTACAGCCACATACTGGATGTACAAATGGAAATAAAATTTCTACTTAGAAGTTGCAAGACATCACTTGATATTTTTTCATGTTATTTTGCAATCCTTTAACCGATGAGCAGATTTCCTAAATATGACTTATTACTGAATTCTAGTCAGCTCATTGAATTCTAATCAACTCTACTCACGCCATGCTGAAGGATGGCTTTGCATCTTGATCAGATAGGGAAGCAATAGTATGCTGAGGAAAACCTGAAGAGAAAATCATCCCATATTACCAATTTTAAACAGGCAAGTAATCTTTCTGTTTCTTACTTCAATGGAAAAGTTCCAAGATTATTCTAAACATTAAGGCCTATCTCATTTGTTGCTACAGGAGAAGCAAAACACTCTTATTGGGTATCACATTTTCCTTCTACTTCTCTATCTACATCCACCAACAAATCCCTCATTGTATTTCCCCCATCTGAAAAAAAATCTTTTCATAGACCTAATATTAACTGGAACCCCACTTTTGAAGAACAGCTGAAAAGAAAATGATGTGCAATGGTAGGAAAGCAGAAAGAACACTACATGAATGTTCACTTGAACAATGGTTTCTAATTAAGAGGAAAATATTTTTGTATGCAGACACCAAGCATACATTCACCTTCCAAGTGCTGTATATGACAGATGACACTATAGCACTTTATGGAGGCTATAAAATTCTTTGTACCACTTATTTTTTACAGCTCATGTCAAGTGGGCAGTTAATTTTTCCAACTGCTGCTCAGGCCTTACCTATAACAAATAAATCTCTTCAGTATTTAAATCTACACATAAAAATACATACATTCTCATCTGTGAAAATGGGTGGATGAAAGTGAGAGATTGATGCTCTAATTCCTGGCATTAGAGTTCCTATTCTGGTTTAAGTCCAGGCTTAAATTTATTAAGAAATACATCAGGAGAAGAAAAGGTACCTAATCCATTTATTGAAAGAACACCACAACAGTGCTCCTAACAAACATGTACTACATGGCCAAACAGATGGCTCTGACAGTCAATTAAGCTTATAAGAGTTGCCTTCTACAAGGGAAAAAAAAAAAAAAAAGAGGGAGAGACAAAATAGTTTTTCATCCTTCATTTCTAAGTATTACATTTATACCAATTATTGTACAAGCAGTATCATCCCACTTTATTGTTTCCAACTGCAATTGAGTAATTTGTCTTATTTGTTTTAATTCATTATTTAAACACTGACTACTTTGCAGGAGCAACATCAAGAAAATCGATATCTATTTAGCAAAATAAAAGTTAAAATAAAAACGCCAATTGTGTAATGTCTTCCATTATGCTTCTATTTGTACGGTGTTAACACAGAAGATGCAACAAAAGAAAAAGACAAGATTCGCAGATCTTACACTCAGACTTTAACAAAACCATATCCTACCCATTCGAATAAGGGAGCACTCAGAGCTTGAACTGGCGGGTGGGGGACTAACATGATGCATCAGCAGTTCCTTGTAATGACTTTCATCTAAGATAACGTGGTACGTTCCTGTCACGAAGAAAGAAATGCCTTACTCTCAGATTTATGAGCAGATAAGAATACAAACACATTCTCCAAATGACAGAAAACAACTTAAGTAAAAAAAAAATAATTTAGCCAACCCTGTTCCTAAAAACCAGTCCTGGTAAAGCTATTGAAAATGGCAAGTTTTAAAACTAATAACACCAGAATGTTTAATTACATATGAAGGCCCACATCTTTTTCTCCAATATTACACTGTAGTAATGAGTCAGATTTACCACTGTAGTAATTGATATTAACATGTTACATAAATTAAGTTCCATATCACGTAGCTTCATATGTGGAACACTAGGTTTTAAAATACATACATTGCTTCTCTCTAGAGATGCAGCTACCAGCTAAGAATATCACTAAATGCTGTGTATTTTGTAGCTTTGGGAAATGCTTAAATTTTCTGCCACCAAAACAGAATATTCATCCTTAAACATCAAAATGCATTAATGAATATATGACAAATTAATTACTTAATTTTGATTTAAAACTTTTATTAGAAGTATAACTACTGAACTTCAGATACATACCACCAGTTTCTCGGGCAAGCACTGTACAAACTCGAACTTCAGCACTTAAGCCGATGACAGATACTCTGATCTTAACTGCTTTTAAACACTTCAAATGGAAAAAGAAAGCATACTCAAATTCATATGCAGAACAGAAAACAGTAAAAAGGTCCAAAGTTTTAAATGAAAATTAATTGGCAATGACACTGGAACTGTCTGTTTTTAGTCTAATAGCTTGGATGTTCAATGTAGCAGTCAAACTTCACTTCTGTACCTTTATTAGATCATAGATGTTGGATGGATCACATGTCGTCAGACTGCTGAAGACTACCAAAACCTCTCTGCTTGTATGTCCTGGCATGTGCCTAAAGAAAGTATATAATTAATTAACTTCTGTACACTAAGCTACTTGTATGCTAAAGTTTCCAAAGACTTCAACGTACTAAAGTCAGAAGACACGATATGAAGTTCCCTACAGATTATTAAAGGCTGGTAAGATCCTTCTCTGATCACCAGAATTTCACCTTCCAAAACGCAAACCTTTCTAGTATCTAAAATACAGTATTTGACTGTGTAATAGTTATCTGATTGTTTGCTCTGTACCTCATCCGTACTCTCACAGATAAAATTCACTTTCAAACCAGCAGCACTCCAGTAATTCTTCCTGAATTCTTAAAATAATCTCTAATCAGTTTATAGGTGTAGATCCATTACTTTTAACTATCTTTTAGTTCTTAATGGAAAACTCTCTTCCAACTAGTCATTCAAATAATTTTTATGAAGCTGACTACTGGCTTTGTTCTGTCAGTGTTTCTAGCTATAATAATTTGTTACAAGTCTTCCACAAATGTTTATCCCATCTCAATACCTCACATAGCAAAAAAGTTTTTCAAATCTATCCCACTCGAAAGATTACCTCTCTAAAGTATGCCAAAACTCCCACCAGATTATTGTGATTCAGTGCTGTTTCTTTTCCTGTTCTCTTATCATTATTAACCCCTAACTTTGCCCTCTCTCCTACCTTAGCTCTCTAGCAAAAAATAATTGCAGGGTCTTTCATTACCATATTCATACACAACATAAAATCGGCTACTTTGTTTTAAAATATTGTTGCTTTTTATAAGCAGCACACCTCTAAATAGAAGCAACTTGTGTTAGAAAAATCAACTTCTGCAATACTAGCATATTTAAATTCTTAATAGTTTGTATTGCAAGAGGACATAAAGCTGCCTTCTAAAGACTCAGGTCAGCACTATGCAAGAGGCTACTCGTAAAAAATACTATAGCTGCGCCTCCAAAAATTCATAATCAGGACTACACAGATTATGGAAACAAAAGAAAACAAGAAACTCCACATGTATACTAACTTTAAAGTCTGCATGGCCAAATTTAGGGAATTATATAGAGATGGCTCTCCACTGCAGTTCATATCCACTGCTTTCTTCAGAGCAGTTATGTGCTTTTTTGAATTACCTGTAAGTGAAAAACAATTCACCTGAAATAACAAGTTAAATGAATTGGAATATTTAAACTTTATATTAAATGAAGTGTACTTGTACAACAACAGTTTTCAAACTGTGACTTGTAACTCTATGTTTCTTCTTAGAAACTGACCTCCTGATCAGAATGTAGAAAACAATAAAACAGTATATTAGCAGAAAGACGTTTACTCTACAGGCACTCAATTGTTAGAAACTTTAAGAAGTCAAAAAGAGTAAAATCACTGTTGTGTATCGTTAAGCACTTAATATGAGTGTGAAGTGTCCCACAAAGTGTTTCACCAGAAACAGGATTTAGTTTCCTCTGTTACCCTGAAAGTACCGTTCAAGGACTGATCAATCCTCAAATTCCTCAGAGTTGCTCCAGTTTTACAGGTGAATAAAGAGAAAAAAATTAAGACTTCATCTCTGAAGCCACATGGATTCCTAGTAACAGAAAGCTTGAACGAAAGAAACCTTGCTTCTTAACATCTGATCAGATTTCACAGAACACAAAGATATCATAAAATACAAACTTAAACTTTAAAGAAAGAAATTAACTATAGGGGAAACAAAACATATTTTAGTTGCAATCTGGTTAAGACCTGATCACAAACAAGCAAGCAATGACGATTCTAGATAAAACCAGATCAAGATAATGACTCTGGTTTCAGATAACTTGCAATAACTTCTTTTAAATTAAAAAGTAGTTAACACTAATTCACTTTCAGCAGTGTCATCCAGGTAGAACTTATAACATCAATGCAAGACAAGAAAACATCTCCAATTTAAAAAAAAATATACTACCTCCCTACCTGAAAGTTCTGTCATTTTTTCAGCTCTTTTACTCTTGGTTACAATTAAGCCAATCTGGAGAAGGGGGGGGGAAAAAAAAGCATAACTTTTCTTAGCAAGTTTAAAAATAAGTTGATTTACATTTCTGCTATATTTTGCCTAATACATCTTTGTGGATCTGAATCACTCAACTATAAAAGTTTTCTTGTAAGTCTAACAACAGCAGCACAACACTATGCATCAGTTAACATACACTCCTGTATTTCCAGCACTTTTGCCACAAAATACAAAAAGAAATCTTCTAACGTTCTAAATACCTGAAAAAAAAAAATCAGGTCTTCTGTATTAGAAATTATGTTTAGGAAAAAGGGAAGAGATGGGTTCTTATTTTCATTAGTTCAGGCACAAACAAGAATTTCACCACACTGATGAGGAAGGGATAGAAAGGAACACATCAGCTGAAAACAGTTTACTAGATAGCATTAAAACTAAAACTAACTAAAATAGCTTCCAACTACTTTTTTCTTGCATGGTTGTACATACCTGACTAATGGGATTTTGGTCAAAGTACTCTTCAACAAAATATTCCAGTAACTATAAAGAAAAGTTAAGACCATTAAAAACTCAAGACAGCTTTATTCCACATGCATTAAGCAGGTAGTACTTGCAAAACCTCCAGTATCACTTAAAAAAAAACAGTTGGGGAAAAAAAAAAAGAGGGAATGAGCCCTTCCTTTCCATTCTCCTTTCACTCTAGCTCATCTGTCCTTCTCCTTCCTTTCATGTCACCAATGCAATGTACATTTCAGAAGCTACCCACCCTTTATTCACTTTGTATGTTAAACTTCTAGATTACTGTTGGTTCAAATGGAGGTTTACGAATCACCAAAAAGCACTAATCTGTACAAAATCATCAATCCCCAGGATTTCAATGCTTAGGGTTGCTAAAGAAGACCATATAGTACAAGATGTACAGTTCAAGTCCTCCACAGTCTGAAGCAGCAACCCAATTCAACTCCTGTTTAGCATCCATTCAAACCAGAATCCATCAAAACACAACTGTAAGGAAAAAAAAAAAAATCTAGATGAGTAATGAAAGCATGTTTGTTCTTCTTTCATCCTTTATTACAGGTAACACTTCAGCTTAATTTCCACTTACTTTTCCATAATGTGTCTCTCCATAACTTGTCCTTTCAAAGCGTTTTCACTGAATAGAAGCACTTGTGCAAGGCAAATTAATGCTGTAAGTAATGATTTTACTATTCAAAAACCAGGAAAATGACAGACTAGCCACAGAAACAAGGGAAAAAACATAGGGAGGAGGGGAGAGATGAGGCTATGCACGTAATCTAGTCACAGGAGACTGCCATTCTCTTAAATGTAAAATGGAACTGGTTTAGTGAGAAACAGTGGATTAGTAAGAGAAAACTCTCAAGTACAGAAATACCTTCAAAGTGCAAGTGAGTCTGTTCGGTTTTAAATCCTGGTCCTCCATAGTTCTTGATCCATCAACAACCACGTAAAGGTGACGCATCTGCATTTTCACCATAAGTGATAATCACTCACAGAACAGATATTGAAATGAACTGTTCATTGTACCATTTACTTAAAAAAGCAGCTATTTCCTCCCTCAAACAGGGAAAAGTCAGTATACTGAGCTATGGAATCAACAGCAACTGAAAGAGTAATGCATTTTTTCCACTTTTCCTTCAAAATGAAAAAAAAGACTACCTGGAAAAACGCACACTGTTCTTTTCCTCTCGTGATAAGCTACAAAACATGCATAGTTTGCACCTTCAGTTCCTCAACTTAAGAGCTCAGCGTTGTATAAAGTAATGCTGTTGTTTGTAACTCATTTGAATTATGCCCACTTTTCACATGAAGAAAAACAACAGTGCAAATGTGCGTGATCTGATTGCTGTTGCAAAATGCACCCTGATACAGCGAACACGCCAAATCTCCACCTCTGAATACTCCTGCTTCACATCCCACATGGCCAATGAACAAAGAATGAAAAAAAAAAATTTTACCAAAAAAAAAAAAAAAAAAAAAATTTGGTAGAAAATGCAAGCTTTGGTCTCAAGCACATTAAGTCAGCAAAAGATTAGGCATACTACCTCTACTCAAGCAGTTTTGGACTATGGTTAAGACATTAACATACCATTCCAAGTCGAACTTGTCCATGGTGTTCATAGAGTCTAAAAACACACAAAAGGATTCAAGTAAGATGCAAATGAATGAATGATTCCTAAAACAAAAGTCCAGAGCAAATCCAATACCAGACTTCTGACAAATATGAAGCAATAACAAACCACAGATGCTTATCTGCACTGAAAAAAAGACAATTACAAACAGATTTCATGCCTCTCACAAAACAAAAGAACAAAAACCGTACCGTACTACCAGGTTTAAGAGAACTTTAAAATTTTACCCAAATTTTAATACTTTAACATAATCTGAAAGAAAACAAATCTAGATTTTGTCTAGCAATTTTTCTGACAATTTGAAACACAGATGTAGTGCCATGATGCCAAAACCCAGCTTGAAGCAGGATTTGTGTATTAAAAAGCTGAAGGATTTTGTCTAAGCAGCGCAAACTGCAACTGCAGTGCTTTGCGCCGTGTTTCATCAGATCAAGACTTCACCTCTTCAGCTAGCGTACATCTGGGGGATCTGGCCTGTACATATTCAGTCTTAAGATTAACGATAAAAAGAAATGTCACTATTTTTTCCTGGCACAACTAATAGGTAGCATGCAAGAAGCACGCATCTGGAGCTCTGAAGGCGTAAGGGCACAAAAATACACTGCAGGCATGCCGATTTGCTTACTCAACCTAGAGGACCCAGTTTCAGAATGATTTAAGTCCTTATAGGGGACCAAACCAGAATTATTAGAAGGCTCGTGGCCACACATAGTACCTTTTCCTCTTTGCCTTGAAAAGAATGTCCTCGATGGTCGCTTTCAGCGATCCGGATTCGTCTTCTTTAAGAATTTCCCTAGGCAAAACAGACTGTTACTGAGGCGAAGGGAGATCTTCCTCGTCTCTCACCAGCCAGAGGCGAGGAGGCAAAAGGAAAGCCTACCATGTTCTTTCGTAGCCTCCTTCCCAGCGCTTGGTCCGTTCGGGTTCGTCGTCCATCTCCGCGCCTTCGCTCTGCCGCTGCCGAGGGCAACGGCGGCCG